CAGTCCTGCGGACTTGTGGACACACTTCGGGGAGGCGCGTTTTGTTGTGGAGGTTGTGCGGGTGTTTGGGTGTCTTTTTCCGAGCGCTCTAGGGAAAGGACTCAGAAAAAATTCTGCTCCGAAGAGCAAAACCCAGAGACCAGCAGCCCCATGACTTCCCCTCCAATGAAACCCCCCAACACATGGGAGGAGAGATCCTCGCGGTCTCTCCAAAGGGCATGTGCGACCCGGCCTATTAAATATACACAGGGCCCATCTGCTTTCTCCACTGTGGCTTTTCTTTCTCTTTTTGATGACTTAAAAAAAGAGAAAAAAAATCCCAAGTATTTCTTGGGCAGCTCTGGATTCAGGGCCGAAAGAGATGGAGAACAGGCCCTGGCAGCCCAAAGCAGCCCTCTTGAAATCGCGCAGCCAAATTGCGCGGCTGGAGGGTCGTGGGGGCTGCACAGGCGCCGGCGAGAGGAGTGGGCCCTATGGGCAGTGGCCCGCGCTGCCCCTCTGGCTTCGAGGCCACTTCGGTCCCTCCTTTATCCGGTGCCTGCCTCAAGCGAAGAACAGCGAGCTCAAAACCTCTCCCCCTCGGCGTGGGCTTTTTGCTTCAATCCCGCACCGCTAGACCTCTTTCTAGTTTAGAAAATAAGCAGTTTGTAAATTTCAAGACGTGGAAAGCTGCGGGGGGGGCGGTGATAAAACATCGTGCACTAGATTTTTAGTATAAGGTTGTAGCTAGTTGAAGAAAGCCATTCCTCTAGAGGAAAACTTAACCATTCTCCTAACGTTCCCCTTGGACTAAAATACTTTCCTGGTGGAAAAACTCTGTTGGTTGCTTGGGTTAAGACCGCCACCATTTTGGTCAGTGTTTTAGCTTCAGGACTGTTTTCTCTTCGCTAAGAATTCCTTCAGCAGGTAGTTTCTGACCCCCTGCTACCTGGAAGGACCGGGCTGTGACCGGAGTTTCCGTTGGTCCCCGCTGAAGGACAGCGAGGGACGCAGAGGCTGTTGCGCTCTGCTCCGCTTTCCTTGCAGGCCTGGTTTTGTTCAGCTGGAGGACGGTCTCAATGCGGTCCCTCCAGCGCCGCTCCTGCAATGCAGGATCCGCGCGCTCTCGTCTTGCGGCATGGGGGGAGGGGAGCAGAGCGATGGTTTTGTAACAGGCACCGCAGGCCTGAGAGGGAACGCCTTAAATGATGAGTCCCGGGTTAAGAAAGAAAAGGGGAGAGGGGGGAAAAAAAAAGCAGCTGATGCTGAATTAATAGTTAGCGCATACCCCTGGGGCTTTCTCCAACCAGGGGGTCAGGAGTCCCTTCCCCTCCCCCAGCCCCGGATCTCCTGTCTGTTTTTAACCCGTCTGATCGGACGCTGCCGGGACGTTTGTGATGGCTTCTTAAAACATAACCCCTTGGGCTTAAGAGTCTATGCTCCCGATCAAACTCACCCCAAATACTAACACGCTAAGAAATTACATTGTAAAGCCTCCCCAATCCGATTGACTGGGCTGTTTGGGGCCCATATGGCTGGACAGCTGTACTGCTCCACTAAAAAGACCATTGCCCCTCGGATGGGATAAAGCGGGGCTTCCCCAGAGAGCTCAGACATGACCTAAGTATTAGCTTAGCCTGGGGTGAAGACTGAGTTAAATCTCTCTTCTTGGAGGTTAAAATAAAGACAACAACAAAAATCAAAAGAGGTGCCCTTCTGAATTCATTGTAAATTGCATGCCGCCTGCTGGTCCGGCCAAAGGAAGGTAGGAAGACCAGGGAAATAAACTCTATGGCTTGCCACAAGCAAGATGAGAGTTAGGCAAAGCGAAGAGACAAGAGATGGGAAAGAAATAGATTATTTGCCAAGCATACCATGTGTCGGTGACATTTGTGGCTCCCTGTTCAGAGAAGCAGGGCTCTGATCCCGGCCAATGCTTCAGTGTTAACGGTAAAGAACAGCCATTGGAGTGCAATTTCCATGGTGAGAAGATGAAACTGTGCTTTAAAAAGGAAAGCCCATTATGAAATGCAGCCGGATTTAATTTTTAATATGATGGCGGATCCTCTAACGCATTCTTTGCTGGTGTTTGCATTCAGGAGAAGTGGTTCCTCCTGTGGCAGAAATCAAAATAACATTCTGCAGGACGTTTAAGCAGGCTCCTCGGCTCTAAAAGTGTCCTGAAATAGAATATTCTATCTCCTTCCAGTTTCGGAATTGAAACTCCATTCGCAGTGAAATATTCAGGCAAATAGGAACCAGCCTTGTCCTTACTTTTCTATCTGTGAGTGCGAGTACTCACTTGCCCTCAAGGCCTTCACAAAAATGTTTTAAAATTAAAGGGGAGAGACAGGAAAGATAGAAAAAGAGAGGGGTGGGGGTGGAGGGAATCTTCATCAGTCAACCTGGACAGTGAATATACCAGTCAGATACATGAGCTCTTGGGTCCGAAGTCAGTAACATTGTTTAAGAAAATTATTTCAATAGTGGAACTACCTCCTTGGAAAGCTTTATATAAATTCCTCAGATGCACAAGTGTTTCTGTGTTCTCTGAACATCAGTTCAGTTCACATCTTTGGAAATATCTGCAGAGAGTGCTGCAGTGATTGTGTTTTTCTAAAAAAATGAAGCAGACGGTTTTGGAGGTGTTACTTGGACTTCTTAGCTAAGGGTGGAATCAGGCAGAGCTTGGCCTCCCTCCTCAGTTCCTTGTAAACAAGGGAAAGCAAGGCCCAGTGAGGAAAGCCTGGCTTCTAGACACCATGAAGATGGTCTGTAGCCAGTCCAGAGGGAAAGTTAAGAATAAACCTAGGTCTCTTCCTTTCTTGTTGTATATTTTTTTCTCATATCCTATTTGAGCTTTAAAAGTTTTCTTATGTCTTTGCCAAATAAAAAAATAGCCTAAGATAACTTTATTTTTTACAATAATTTATGATATATTTAAAAATAACTGGAAGAGGTTCTTGATGCATAGAAATAATAAGATTTTGAGGACATGGAAATGCTAATCACCCTGGTGTGACCGTTGCATACTGTATACAAGTATCAGATCATCGTACTGTATCCCATAAATATGTAAACTTATTATGTCAATTAAAATAAAAATATATATTTAAAAAATATATACTGAAGGGAAACAAGAAATAGAAAAAGAAATGGAGAAGAAATAGCCTCCCCTATTAAGTTCACTTGGAGTTTATCTTGGGATGAATTTTGAAATTCAAATTTTTCTGTTTAAGTTTCTCTATTGGCAGCAACATTTCAGAGCATTTTAAGGAAAACATACCCAGCTAGCCTTGTGTGGCCTCAGGGGCTTAAGAAGGGAGCTTCAAGAAAAGTGTGGAGCCTTTGACCAAGTGAATTAAATGCCACGATATGTTCTGAAAATAATCACATTAAAGCTAGTGCAGGGGGTTTCGGGGAAGGACCACATCCCTTAGCACCCTTTTAATAGTCATTTTGGGAGAAGGGTGAGGCACATGTCTAGGGTCTCGGTTACCGATTCAGCTCATTGGGTGGCAGTTACCATGTCAGTTTGCTTGGTTTCTGTGATATTTAATAAATTATTCATATTGTGCAAAAAAGGGGAATCTTTAAAAAAAAAGCCAAAAGAAAAAATAAGACGGTGGCACGGTACAGGACACATGCATGACTTTGGCTAAGGAAAGCCCTTTCCTTCTTGATCTGTACCTTCTTCAACATGATTAAATGATTTCCAAAATCCGTTTTCCATACCAAGAGTGATTCTGTGTTTTTTTTTTTTTTCAGAATCCTCATGATCTTGAATCTGGAAGGTATTGTCCCCTTTTTAAAATCTCCCTGGCAGATACTTCTCAAGCCCTGAAAAGTTAACCAGGGCAAGCTTAGTGGAAAGCAGCAGCGTCTGTATGTATGTAAATGACATTCATCTGGAAGCACAACCCTCTTTATTTCTGATTGCTCTCTGGGTCAGAAACTGGTGCCTTTAGCAGGCGAAAGCATCTTCCTGTTCCCTCTGTGCTCCAGCACAGCGTAACTGCTGCCTCCTGTGTCTACACATAAGCAGATTCAACCTGAGCAGAGCGCAGATTGACAAGCCCCCCTCCCACTCTGACCTAGATTGGGGATGAAGGCTAATGATTCATTTGCAATGCTTATGATGGGCATCCACTGCGGTCCTC